CCTGCTGAGTGAACTATTGCAGCAAGGAGGAAAGCAAAGCTCTGAAAGGAAAACCTCCTGGGACACGGTGAGAAGAGAGGAGCTAGGCTCTCTGATGCCAAGGAGTGCTCACCTAGCAAAGATTCCTGGGTCTGGTCTGGGGATGGAAACTCTGGACTGCATGACTGCCTGAGCCTCGATGTGGGAAGTATTTTTTAGCTTATCATTTTCCCAACACACTCCACGCTGGGCGCGGAGGGGAAGTGCTCAGGTCTCAGCAGGCAGATCTCATCTCAAGTCACCCAGTCTAGTTGGGAAGAAAATAAACATGGCTGGACACTGCGGGGAGATGTTTCGAGCGCTTTCACTTCACTTGGAGCCTGTGATACGCACACTGTGAGGAGCAGCTGGAGGCTGAGGACAACCTGGATGGGGGAGCCGGCTTCCTTGAAGAAATACCAAAGAGGCGACTCTTCAAAGATGATGGAAGTGGGGCCTGTGACTCCAGAGGGACAGTACATGCAAGTGACAGAGATGAGACAACACCTGGACCCACCTCAGGAACAGCCAGCTCGCAGGCCACAGAGCCCTCAAAGGCAGAGAGAAAGAGAGAGCCCCAGCTGGCGGGGAGCAGATGAGAAACCTGGGGCTCTTCCTGAAGGCCAGGGGTTCTGAGGCCCATTTAACTCAGGCGCCCTTTTTGGAAAACAGAAAAGCCTTGTGCCTCCTCTTACTATAGAGACAGTTCTAGAGCCAGACTTCCAGGTGCGAATACTGCATCTACCACTTCCTAGATGGGTGACGTTGGGCCTCTCCACACCTCAGTTTCTTTTTCTGGATAATACCCTCCACCTTATAAGGTTGGAATGAGGTTAGATGAGGCAGTACATGCATAAAACTCCTGGTACCTGGCATGTGTTAAGCGCCGAACCAATTATTTGTTAGTTCTGATCAGTATCAATATTGTAAAGTGCTGTTCACAAAAGATAATCTATCATTTGCATAACCCCTCAAGTCAATAATATTTTACTGAACTTTATTCCATGTCACATCAAAAGGTTTCTTTTTTATTTTCCAAATATAAAATGTTTTAATACTATTAAACATGTTCTTTCAAACTTCATGCCACCCTTCACACGTCCTACCTCACCCCAAGATTTCACCAGAGATGAGAGATGAGTCAGCACCAAACTATACTGGCCTGCGATCAGCACCCTGGAGCCAGGGTGATGGCTGAAATACCAGAATGGACAGATCAGACCAACCTGGTGGAGACGGAACTGACAGATTTGGCAACCAACTGCACACAAGAAATAAAACATAGGAAGTCAGAGAGGAGACTAAAGTTTGGGTGGCAGTTGTCCACCATACGGCTCACGGTAAAGGACAGGTCCACAGACCAGATAAAGGAGGTAGGGTGAGACCTCCCTCCACAAGAGGGGGCTGAGACAACTCAACAACAACAAAAACAAATAACCCATTTTAAGATGAGTAAAGGTCTCAAACAGACATTTCTCCAAAGAAGTTATATAAATCGCCAACAAGCACATGAAAAGATGCTCCCTATCACAAATCCTTAGGGGAATGCAAATCAAAACCACAATAGGCTAGCACCTCACATCCATTAGGATGGCTACTGTTAAAAAAACAAACAAATCAGAAAATACAAGTAATGGCAAGGATGTAGAAAATTGGAACCTTTTGCACATGTGGAAGAAAGTACGGCAGTTCAACAAAAAATTAAAAGTAGAATTACCGTATGATCCAGCAATTCCACTTCTAGGTGTATATCCAAAAGACTGAAAGCAGGGCCTCAAAGAGATATCTCTACACCCACGTTCACTGCAGCATTATTCGCAAAAGACAAAAGATGGAAGCTACTCAAGTGTTCGTCCACAGATGAATGGATAAATAAAATGTGATATACACCTACAATGTAATATCATTCAGCCTTAAAGAGGAAGAAAATTCTGACACATGCTACAACATGGATGAACCTTGAGGGCATTATGCTAAGTGAAACAATCCAGTTGCAAAAAAACAAATACTACTTTATTATAACTACCTATAAGAGATACCTAGAGTAGTCAAATTCATAGAAACAGAAAGTAGGAGAATGGTGGTTGCCAGGGACCAGAGGGAGGGGAAACAGGGCTTTGTTGTTCAATGAATATGGAGTTTCAGTTCCATAAGATGAAAGGAATTCTAGAGATTGGTTGCAACAATAATGTGAATTTACTATAACACTACTGAACTGCACAGTTAATGGTGAGGATGGTAAATTTTACGTTTTGTGTACTCTGCCATGATTAAAAATTTTTTTTTTTAATATATGGGGGAATAAAAGAGGGGGCTAAGGAGGGGGGAGCCAAAGGGTAGAAAAACTCATGGAAAAGCCTACATGTGTAGGCTTAATAAAGAAGTCAGCAAAAGTTACTAAGAAATATGGGCACAGAAGCAGGAAGTGAGTCAGAGACAGCAGAGCCATAGAAGCACAGGGTGGAGGGGGTCAGAAGAGGGAGGAGATGGGAGGGCTTAAAAAGAAGAGAATAAGAGAGATTGCGTGAGCTGTCTGAAGTGACCAGCTGCTGAAGTTGCCCAACTCTATGGAGAGGAGGGCTGCTGGCAGCAGACGCTTGGGCTTGCATTCCCCTCACTTTTGTTTCTTTCTGGATGGTGTCTTTGTGACAATCGCTTCACTGACCAGTAACACCCTGCATTCCTTCCTAACTCAATGTTCTGAGTTTTTGACTGAGGTACTGTTATCGAGTTATGCTACCTTGTATTTGGAGCAGGTAGAGATGGGAATATCCAATGCTAACGGTCAGGTGTTGCTGATCACAAGATACCAAGAAGGGAAGAGAATCTCCAGACAGGACCTCAAAAGACAACCATTTCTAAACAGAGGACAAGACTGCATTCTTCACATTGGCTCCGCTACCTCTCGTGAGAAGTTCCATTACAGAATATTGGCTGTGGAGCGATGGGAGAAGGGTGACACGGGATGAGATTAAGCATGTGTGTGCTGGAGAGCAGGGTGGTAATGTGAATTCACTCAACATCCACTGAAAAATGTATGAATGAACTCTTTCCACGTGCCAGGCATCTCTCAGCCCTACGATATGAATCTCTACCTAAGTATCCTTCTTGGAGCTAGGCTGGAGGCATCACATTATCTGCTCCCATGAGGACAGTAGGTTAATAAAGTCCCCAAAGATTATATAAGGCAGACATGATCCCGGTATCGGGGGAGAGGTGCCAGGACCAATGACAGAACCAATTCAAGACGGTTGTCTTCTCGGCTATATGCCACTAAGTGAAAAGCAGGGCACAGCTTCCTAAATGGTGCTGTGTGAATGACAGCAATAATATTATCCCCCCAGCCCTCTGGGAAGCCAGAGTTCCAGGCTGGTCACCTCCAGTTTCAAGCAACCTGGTCTTTGATCTCAGTGTGCCATACAAATATTTTCATTTTCTGAGATGAAGAGAAGTTGAGGAAACACTGAGGCAGGGTAAAGACTGAGAAGAGGCTACTGAATTTGGCAAAGGGGAAGTCATTGGTGCCCCGAAAGAATGCTTTTTAAAAAAAATACATAAAAAGAAACAAGCTTCAGAGAATGGCAGCTGAGGAGGGAAAAGTGAGCGCCCAAGTGGAGAGCAGATGCGCTGAGAACAGGAGCCACGAGCTCCCCCGCACCCGCTGAATGGACTAGCAGACACAGACTGAAGAGCCAGCGGCAGACCCAGGTTCTCTGCCCAGTCCCTCTAGCATCAGCCGTGCATCTTACAAAAGCTGGAAGCCTCACCCCTCAGTGAAGCAAAGATTGCTGGGAGCCCCTGTAGTGGGGATAAAGGGCTCCCACTTTGGAACCAGACACATCCGTGGCCCAATTCCAGCTCCACCATGTGTGAGCACTGGCGTGTAAGTCACATAACTCCCCTGAGTGCTGGTTCCTCATCTTACAGATGAGGAACCGCATTGACAGAGGCTGTTGTAGGAATCCAGTAAGGGAGGTGACAGAGTCCTGCCCTTCTGTGGCTGATGAGTCTGGTTTCCTAAGCTAGGCTGAGATCACAGCCGCTGTGGACAGGACTGGGAATTATCAGGTGTGTGTCTCCTCACTTGTCGAAAGTATCTGGAAGCAACAGATACCCCTGCAAAACTCTCAGGTCTGCCGAAGCTCCATATTAATGAGTCTCCCTGTTCCTATCTGCTACTCCACAGCTGGAGTTCTTGCTCTCTGCCACATCCTCCCCATTCCAGAATGTACACCGTTCTGGTGATTCTAAGAGGCTCCGAAGGCCCACAGCCTTCAAGAGGCCTGTGTCCCACTGACCGCAGGTGCTCCTTCCTCTCCTCACCTGCTCTCACCCCGAGGAGCGGCACCTCAGTCCCTCTCGCGGTCCGCCCCGCCCGGGCCCACACCACACCTCAGCTCCACGATGACACTGCCCACTCCCAGCAGCCTCTTCACCTGGCCCGTAGCCAGTACAAGCTACCAGTGGGTCAGGGCCTGAAATAATCCCTCTCTTTCTTTCTTTTTTAACCTTGCACAAAGCATTCTCTCCTGGCATTCCTTCTTCTTTTATTTTTTGAACCAGCAACCTGTGAATATATTAGCATTTGAAAAGAGTCAAATGCAGAATAAAATGTGCAGGTTCCCCCCATGGTTTACCCTCATATGAGTCCACAATAGACTGTGCATGCTTCCCCTCCAGTTTTAAGTGCCATTCCTCAGCCCCCCCTGTGTTTCTAGTAACAGCTTTGTTCCAAGCTTCTAAGGAGGGGCAAATTCTCAGATTTCCCCAAGTCTGTGGTCCTGACAGATGCAGCAGAAGGCAGCCAGCCCCCCCGACCCCCAGCTGAGTGCCTGTAATTTCTCCAACCTCAAAATTAAAGTGAGGAAAGCCAAGCCTGCAAAATCAAAGCTCCATCTTCCTAAGAATAAGCCACCTCGGGGTCTGCTGAGTTTCGTCAACCTAAAAACAAAGCAAAACTTCAAATTCTGAGATACAAACATTTTCCCTCAGCTCTAGAGGCCTCACCGCTGCCTGCCCTCAGCACACGCCGAGAAGCTGCAGCCACGGGGCTCTCCATCCGGCAGCTGGAGCCACGGGGCTCACTCCTCTGTCCTCAGATGTCCACTCCAGTGTGAAATCCCAGTGAGGGACACGGAGACCCAAGAGGCCATTTCCTTCTTCTGGGTTTCAGAGAAGTGACCTCTCCATGGCTTCACATAAAATCAACTTTCCCTCACTCCTCAGAGCAACGTTTCAAGATTTCACCTCAAAACAGAATCAGCCCTGAGATTCCCTCAGATCTTCTGTTAACATGCCCAGACCCGGCGCCTCCCTGTGAAAACTCTCCATCTTTCGGTGGGAATCCTCTCCTTCCCTGCAGCCCTGAGATGGACCTGTGAGCAATCTTCCTCCCATGACAGTTACCAACAGTACAACTCATTGAGTCCTGGGGGGAGAATCAGCCCTGACCCGCTTCCTGATACTCTGGCTTTTCTCTCACCAACAGCAGCTCTGGAAAGTGAAGCTCAAAACATAAAACAATAAACAAAGCACAGAAAAATCTTAAGCTACTCATTTCCTACAACAGGTCTCTCCCTGCTGATGGGTGGTCAGGGAGGAAAGATGCTCAGGAGGCGTGGAGAAGCAGGGAACACTTTGGGACACAAGGAAACAACGCCCCCAACAGTGCAGTGAGAAAAAAACATTTTTAATAATTAAGAAAAAAAAAAAAAAGTGGCAACAAACCCAGGAAATGAAGCTCTCATTCATCAGTCCTACTAGAGGCAACAGGAGCTAGTTTGGAAAACAGAGGATCTACCAGTGAAGCACCTGCTACTACATCAGACACGGGGCTGATTTCTCCATCTTCACAGTAACCACATGTATGAATCCCACGAAGGCTAATGAGCAAACCAGTCCAAGCTGGGGGACAGAGCTGGGATTCAAACCCAGGGCCACGTGATTCTAAATCCTGTGCTCTGTCTACCAAACCATGGTTGACTTGGACAGGCTGCCAACTGAGCCCCCCTTTGCCCACCAAAGTAGTGGCTGCCCCAGACCCTAAACTGGAGACACAATTTCTGCTGCCCCCACTGCCGGATCCCACTCACTGGTACACGGTCGGGACAGCCCCTGTTTTGTTAAGTATCACCACTGCTAAATAAGTAGCCAAGCTCACTCTGGTGTGGCTCAGCATCCCACGAGACAGAAGGAAGACAAACTCCACCTCCCCACGGTGTGCTGAGGGTATAGGCGTGTTTGGGACCTACTGGGTGGTCTCCTTGGCCGGAAAGAAACCCTTCCCCATCTCGTAAGGACTCCTGTGGCCAAGACAATGAGTCGTATGGGTAAGTGAAGCTCCAGGGAGGTGAAAACAGCAGCAGCAGGAAGATTTCAACACTCCCTGGGAGGAGAAGGGAAGTCACCCAGGCCAGCAAGAAGGGTAGAGCACGAGGTGGGAGCTCTCCCAGGTGGAACACATGAGCCAGAAACAGCTGTTTCTGCTGCTCCGTCTGCTCCAGAGTGGGTGTGACCTGCAGGCAGCCAGCAATCCAGGGCACAGTCAACATTTAACTCGGCCTATTTCTCATAACCTTTAGCTCCTGTCTTTGGAAAGGAACTGTCCCCAGTAGGGCTGAACATATACTAAATGCCAAAACCAGCCTCTGACAAAGCTTGCATTCGGTGCTGAGCAGGTACAAATGCTGACAGAACTATTTAAGTGACATCTTTTAAATACAGGATCTTCAGCTTCCAAACTAGGGTAGTGGCAGAACTTGCTGTCTTTCCCTCCCTCCCTAGCCAGGAAGAGTGACTTCTACACTTATATTTAGAAGCTAAATTGTTAAGAGAGAACTTTTTAAATACAGTATTCCACGTCATCCCTTTAAGTGAGACTGAGACGTGGGCTCAGCAGGCCATGTTCCACAATATCAGAGGGACAGCTAGGAATTAGTCGGCGGGACGGGCTGCTGAAGACAGAGGGCAGCTGTGCACACAGTGCTGTAAAGTGCTCCCTCTCAGCTTCTGTGCTTTTCTCCTCCTGGGTTGGTTACAGTTTGTGGGCCAGTCCGCAAATCACACTTCTGAGAACACTGATCTAGACTGTTCTTCCCCAGTCTCCTCAGCCCCATTTCATAGCCAGGAACTGCCTATAAATGGCAGAGCTGGAAACCTTAAAAAAAAAAACAAAACAAAAAAACCAGGAAACAGTCAACCGCCAACGTACATTAGACATAAGAGGGAGCAAAAAGAGGAAAAGGACAGCATCAACGCTGCCCAGCTAGCACTGACCATCTTGGTCATACGGATCTAGGGACACGAATTCACTCGTCATCTGGCGGGTATCACTGCCGGAAGCGCGGAGCAGCCCGCCCGCCCCAGGGGGTTCCCCTGACCTTGGGCCGCTCTTC